TTTTTACATTCTTAGGCATTTTTCCACTACTTCCATTTTCAAAAGGAGGGAAAATTCTACATAGCAACAAGGGTTTTGGATGTTTTTGGGGGGTTAAGTTTTTTTTACTTTTCCATTTCTTGTTATTAAGATTCAAGGGCCAATTCTATAATAAGATTAGGAATTACTGGTGAAAGAATCTGGAACACTAATAACACAGAATTTATTTAACTACAAGAAAACATAAACACGGATCACGCTGTGAAGAACACAGATGCAAACCATGTGAGTTGTTCTATAAAAGATGTAGAAAAAAAATCTTCCCAAACTTACCCTCACAGAAGATTCAGAACATTTATGCTAAGTTGAGTCATCGATACTGCCTTTATAGTTTATTGTAAGGCTAACAAGAAGCCAACATAAACACAAACTAAATTTAACTTTATAATAGGCTATTTTTTTAGAACTGCCTTCTTGCTAATTTACAGAGGATGCTATACAGTTTTAACATCTTTTATCAATGCTTATGGAAACCCAAGACTACTTTTGTCTACAAATGCTTATCCTTCTCCAGATGGCTACCTCGAAAGATTACCAGATGTCTTACAGTAAACCGAATAAGCTGAGACTCTCCCAAGCATGAAACCAGCCAAATGCTAAATACTGCTAAACTTTGGAAACACAAATCCCGAATCAAATCTGGCATTTCCACACTAAGTCTCTTTGGTTTCCAGCCTAAATGAAGTAAAAGTGGAAGACAGCATGCCACATGAGTGTGACCTTTTACAGACATGAGAAATGGTTCTTGACTTAGAGCAGAAAAGCTCTCCTGACATCACAGGAAACAGAAAATACAGTTATAGCAGATTCCTTGTATTATTGAGCAACCTATTGATGTTCCCTCTCAATATTTTTGTATAATTCCTAGAGCAATGTGAATGATGATGAGCAGAGAAATGAGATTGAATAACACGTTATCTTTAGATTCCATCTCATCTGTAATAACATTCTATTAACGAACTAAAAAATTCCATTAAGCATGATTCAATCAAAATTATTTTCTGAAGTTTAAGCAGACTGAGATTATGATTAAATTAACAGAGTAGCTTGGCTGTTTGAAGTCTACTGCAATATTTTACAGTGTGCACACAAGGACAGTTACTTGGAGAGCAGTTGTGATACACAAGGCTGGGCTACTGAAGGTGACTTGAATTGCTAACATAATACATTAACACTCTACAAAGGGTGAGCATCACTTAGTACACTGCTAATCCATTAATGTTAGCATACAATCTTCACAAGCTTCTCCTCTCACACAGCTAATTACTATGTTAAGACACAGCAGCAACAGGAGTATTATTTTCTTCCACATTCACTTTAATTAGCATGAAGGATATTTACAATATATATAGATTGTAAGATTTCTTTTTTAAAAAATAAAGTGCTCACACTGGCTGAATTCATACATAGCTCAATTCACATTAGCCATTCATTTCCCGTTACCTGCAGTATAACAGACCCAGTAAATATAAGAAGACAAAAAAAAAAGATAAATGGAGTAAAGCACAATAATGTATAATATAGTCAAACTATGTCACACTTCCAGCAAAGCATCAACAAGAATCACTTACCTGAGGAATCCAAAAGTTCGTGAAATGACAGCAGTACACATCCACCATCACCTATCACTGAAATAGCTGCCATTGCTATTTGAAAAGGAAGGCACTAAGAACCGGCTGTAATTGACTACCATTACTGTAGCCAAAGCCTTAAACAGTCTTACCCAGAGAGGCTTCATAATCTTCATCCCTGAAGTAGCTCAAAGACGAACAGGAAATACTCTACACAGCCTGATCTGTTGGCCCTGCTCCCTTACTTCAAGAAAGACATGAGTGGAAGTTCAGAGCACTGACTTTCATAGTCTCCACATAACCTAAATATTTCTAGGCTTCCATAATGACAATTACATACTAATCTTACTGTTTTCCTTTTCAAACAGCAATGATAACTTTCTGAAACTCATCATAGGTTCTACAATGAAAAAAACGTGCAATGAAATTTCCCTCACCCTGAAGAATTATAATTCTTCTCTCTTAGAAACTGAACAATAATATATTGTATTACATTTAATATTTTTATTAAAACTAACAATAAGGCTGATTATCAGAATGGCATTTTTCATTCTAAAAACTCGGCAACCGGGAATTTGTTGATATAAATTTCCATTGACTGAATTCAGGAAGTCTATTTACAGGCATTATAATTATATATTTCATTTAATATACATCTAATATAAAAAATTAATTTAAATTAAAAAGAATAATATATATAATAAATTTACAACATTATATTATTATGTTATTATTAATTAATGATTATATTGTTAATATAATATAATCATTATATAATTGTTAAATAATAATAATAAGAAGAAGAATTGAATAATAACTGAATTTAGAGAAGAGATTCAGAGCAGCCCTGTGGAGAAGGACTTGGGGGTGTTGGTCAATAAGAAAATGAACATGACCCAGCAGTGTGTGCTTGCAGCCCAGAAAGCCAACCATATCCTGGGCTGCATCAAAAGGAGCGTGACCAGCAGGTCGAAGGAGGTCATCCTGCCCCTTTATTCTGCTCTCGTGAGACCTCACTTGGAGTATTGTGTGCAGTTCTGGTGTCCTCAACATAAAAAGGACATGGAACTGTTGGAATAAGTCCAGAGGAGGGCCACGAGGATGATCAGGGTACTGGAGCACCTCCCGTATGAAGATAGGCTGAGAAAGTTGGGGCTGTTCAGTCTGGAGAAGAGAAGGCTGCGTGGAGAACTCATAGCAGCCTTCCAGTACCTGAAGGGGGCTGTCCTGGATTCAGCAGTCGCAGTCATTTTTCTCCTTATTAGTAGCTGGTGCAGTGCTGTGTTTTTTGACTTTCAGCCTGGGAACAGCGCTGATAACATCAATGTGTTTAGTTGCTGCTCAGTAATGTTTACTCTGACCAAAGACTTTTTGTGAGTCTCATGCTCTGCCATGGAGGAGGGGAAGCCAGGAGGAAGCAGAGACAGGACACCTGACCCAAACTAACCAAAGAGGTATTCCATACCACAGCATGTCACGCCCAGTATATAAACTGGAGGCAGTTACCCGGAAGGGCTAGATCACTGCTTGGGTTGAGCTGGGTATCAGTGGGCAGGTGGTGAGTGGTTGTATTCTCTTCCCTTGTTATTTCCCTTATCATTATTATTATTGGTGGCAGCAGCAGTGGTTTGTGTTATACCTTAGTTACTGGACTGTTCTGATCTCAGCCCATGGGAGTTACATTCTTTCGATTCTCCTCCCCAACCCTCCGGGAGCAGGGGGAGAAAAGGTGGGCAGTGAGCAAGTGGCTGCATGGTTCTTGCTGCCGGCTGGGCTTAAACCACAACAGGGGCCTATAAGGATGCTGGGGAGGGAGTCTTCATTAGGGACTACAGTGATAGGACAAGGGGTAATGGGTTAAAACTTAAACCGGGGAAGTTTAGATTAGATAGAAGGAAGAAAGTTCTTTACTGTAAGGGTGGTAAGGCATTGGAATCGGTTGCCCAAAGAAGCTGTTAATGCACCATCCCTGGTGGTGTTGAAGGCCAGGTTGGACAGAAACTTCGGTGACATGGTTTAGTGCGAAATGTCCAGGCCCATGGCAGGGGGGCTGGAAAGTGATGATCTTAAGGTCCTTTCCAACCCTGACTGTTCTATGATTCTATGAAATGTAAATACCAAAGTTTATATAAGCATAAAATGACATTAAAAATTCACACCACAAGCAGTTAATCTTTGAAGTAAAATAGGCCGTTTTAGAAATATTTTATGCACGTATTTTGCTACCTGATATACAGAAGTATCCCTTTATATTTTTCATATTCATTTACATTTTTAAAAATACATTTACAAGAAGCTTCACATACATTTACATTTATAGTGCAATATTACACAAATACTATAATGTTTACATTGTAACCTTCCTGTAATATTACATAAACGATGCAATGTCTCCTGTCCTTAATTTTTATTCATTAAAAATACTTTAACAACCTAAAAATGCACAAAGAGCATATTATCAAATATATTATCAAATATTCAGGCAGTGAATATGTGCAGGCTAACCCAAAATCTAGTATGGTAAGCACTGGGACAAAACCACCACATAGTTTTGTGTAATGAAAAGATAGAATTAATCTTTCCAAGCAGATTATCAAATATACAAGAAATATTTTTTTCTATCTCATCACTGACAGGCTAATGTTGCAAATATATGCCTGGTTCTGCTTGGCAACATTTTGTTAATACTTTGTTCATTAATTTAACAAACTATCAAGAGAGTATGTTTAGAATGGGCAAGCATTATCTCTTGCATTTCATTTAATTAAACTTTGTTCTAGCAATATGACAGTCAGCATTTCATGAAGGGAATTATTTTAAAGATGAAGGTAGAAAATATTTCAAAATGCCCTGCTAAAACATGAAAGCATAATCTAAAATTACCCCTGCACACACAGTAATTTATCTATAATATTAAAGATGTTATTTCCAGAGTTCATAATTAATTGGATTCCACAGAGAAATTATTCAGGCATTCCAGATAGCAAAATGATGCACAAAGGCACAAAACATAGTGCCGAAGGACAACCATAAACAACCACTGTGACTTGCCTGAATTACAACAATCATTGAGCTTACTGTGAAATGAATACTGGCTGCCTTTTGTATGTGGTCATTACTCTGCTGCAAAGAAATTGCCATTGAATTTTGATTATATTGCCTTAATAAAAGGTAATGAAAGTGGCTCATGCTCTAGTGGCTTTCTTTTAAATGATACACGACAGTGATCTTGCAAAGGCCAGTGTGCCACAAATTGATTATGACACCTCATCTGAGGAAGGCGGTGTTACCCCACCACTGTAGGTAACTGCAATGATGACTTGACTTCTTGCAAACATTTTAACAAAACCCTTTCAGTGAAAAAATTAGAAATTAGATTTTAAGACTTACCATCGATCCGACTAACAAGTTCTTCCAACATTTTCACTTTCTTCTGAATTCCTGGCTGTGCAAATGTGTAGTTATCCTGAAGAAGAGACCATAAACAAGTTCGTACAGAGAAAAAAACCAAACAAAACTAAATAAACCTTCTTTTCCTTCAATTATGTGTCTCAATCCATCTATTTTTCTATGTTTTCTTAAGGTGTTTGTCTTGTTTTTATGTTTTCTAGAACTGCTTCTACAGGTAAGTAGTAAATCATCACACTGTATAGTCCTACTTCAAGACCCCATATCTACCAGTATACTGTACAGATATTACTGCATCAATTGCTCTCTACATGCTAATTTAGTGCCCCTGGATTTACAGCTTTCTTTCAGAAGTCCAAGTACTTTTAAATGGCTGTCATCTTCAATGCCAAATGTGCCATACTAGAAATTTTTTTAAGGTAAATGTTTTCTCATAAATTTACTATTCTATGCCAAATAATGTAGGAAATATGAAAATTTAGACCCTAATCAGTTTCAGAGTAAGAAACTGATCTTTAGAAATTCAGAACAATAACTTCCAGCAGCCCAGGAAATCAAAAAATTATTTTAATGGAACCATAACTGTTCTGAACCCAAGGTTACAATTAATATCATGAACCAAAATCTAACACACAAGTCATATAGCTAAAATGGCAGGGTATTTGCATGTATTTGAATGTATTAACTCTACCTGGATTTTTTATTTCTGGATTGCAACTTCACAGCACATACTAGAATTTGCAATAATGAGAAGGAGAAAGGTACCTCCACTTGATCCCCAAAGCGATCAATCTTTTCAAATATATTTTTTAAAATACACAGCAATGCTTCTGAGTATTTGACAATACCTCAACTCATTTTGTTATGGTTTTCTACACAGGAAGATTCAAGAAAAGAAACTTACCAATCTATATTTTAAAAGAAAGTTTCTACATAAAATTGGTTTCTTTGTAACTGCTGCTTACACAGAAAACCAGGGGAAATGATTTTTTGTCTCAGCTGCTATTACTTGAATATGAAAAGCAATTGGTTAACTGAGTAACTATCCAAAAACCAATCCTTAAAAAAAATTTCACTGATGCTGGAATATTTTCTTTTGATTTCAAATTTTAACTTGGCCATAAGAGTAAAAGGGGTGAATATCAAGTTCATTTTTATATATCTTGAGAAATTTTTGGTTGGTTGGATGTATTTTGGTTTTTGTTTTTTTGTTGTTTTTTTTTAAGGCCATACTGACTTCTTGACTATGTTTACATGTTTGTTTTGTTGGGGTTTTTACTTGCTTTTCTTATTTTATTTGCTATTTAATCTTAAAATCTCTTTGGGAAATAGCATATCCATTTTCCTACACAAAGTACTCTAACAATGAAAACAATTGCAAATGCATTACTGCTCTATTAATTTATTTAAAGTTAACTGGCATTTCTAGAAGCACTGTACTCAAATTACAGCAATATGATACTCAAATATTTAATCTATAACAAATCCACTAAAAGCCAACACAAAGTTAAAATACTACTACTTGGATCATTAGTCTCTCCCTAGGTAGTACAACTCTAAACAGTGATCTATGAATCTGAGAGTGTTTTCTTTCTCAAAGTATCATTTACTCCATACATACACAAAAATGCAACCCAATACTTCGGGGTTTGGGTCTGAAAACAGGTAAGTTTGCTCTTCAGTACATTTGATATTTTGTCCATTCATTTCATAGAATCATAGAATAGTTAGAGTTGGAAAGGACCTTAAGATCATCAAGTTCCACTCCCCCTGTGATGGGCAGGGACACCTCACACTAAACCAATGTCACTGAAGGCTTCGTCCAACCTGGCCTTGAGCACTGCCAGGGATGAAGCATTCACAACCTCCCTGGACAACCCATTCCAGTGCCTCACCACCCTTACAGTAAAGAATTTCTTCCTTATATCCAATCTAAACTTCCCCTGTTTAAGTTTTAACCCATTACCCCTTGTCCTATCACTACAGTCCCTATTTCTCTGTTCATTATTTCAGCTGCAAATGAACACAGCTGGGATTCACTCTTCTACTGGTGCTAACTTATCTACCTGAAAAGTTCTTCGCCGGCTCCCCCAGTCGTCTCTTCTAACTAAACTATACTGTACACACTCCCTCCTATGATACTTGTAATGGACTTTCTGGAGCTTCCAAAACTGTGAGAAGGATGCTGTAAACACAAAAAGTATTCTGTTATCTACTATTCTTGCTCCTTATGTGCTTCTAGGTGGGGGAAAAGCTAGTAACACAGTTAAATAAGAAAACTTGTCAATCTTGGGAAATTCATGAATTATTGCTCAGGCCAATACAGAAGTACAATGGTTAAGAATTTATTTCCTATATCATACCTTTTAATTGACAATATCATCTTTAAAATTTGACTCAACTTTAATTCCAACTCCTCTACCTCCTCCCCACCAAGAGGCACAGGGAGATAGGAACTGAGAGTTGTGGTCAGCTCATCACACTTAATCTACGCTGTTCCTCATGGACCACAGGTCTTGCAAAAAAGCCTGCTCCTGTGCAGGCTGTTCTCCATGGACTGCAGTTTCCATCAAGGCATCTCCACCTGCTCCAATGTGAGGTTCTCCCCAGGCTGCAGGTGGAGATCTGCTCCACCATGAAACTCCATGGCAGGGGCACAGCCTGCCTCACCATGGTCTGCACCATCAGCTCCAGGGGAATCTCAGAGCTTGGAGCACCTCCTCCCCTCCTTCTTCATGACCTTGGTGTCTGCAGAGTTGTTTCTCTTTTTCTCATTCCTCTCTCACAGCTGCTGCACAGTGGCTTTTTACCCTTTCTTAAATATGTTACCACAGGGGCATGACCAGCATTGCCAACGGGCTCAGTTTTGGCCAGCAACAGATCTGTCTCACTCCTGGCTGGAAGTGGCTCTGTCTTGACACTAGACCTTTTCTCACAGAATATGCTCATGCAGCAACCCTGCTACCAAAACTTGCCATGTAAACCCAACACAAGTTCTTCACTGACTTCTGAAGAAAAAAGTATTCCAGTATTCAGCTTCCTACCTATTCCCCCACGCAGTTGTGGGTCCTCATAGGAGCATTTCATTATTCATCCTGCAAATTTTTGTTATGTTTCCTCATTTATTCCTTGTGTAACTTTGGCCATCAATATTAACTGAATTACAAACTCTGAAAGTCATAAGTAGTTAAGAACAGGGATTGTCTTGCCTCAAGAGACCTTCCGTGAACAGTTAACATAAAACACCTTATATTTCTAACCACTGTTTTTGAGACTTTCTAGCAAGCATTCATATATGACAAAGTATGCGTAAGTACAAGACAGAATCCATGATAAACATAAAATATTCATGCGTGCATTATCTAAATTCCTTGAAGTTCTGCTCAGATAGCTTCCAACATACTTTCAGTGAACTATGCTAACCTACTTCACAGCTGAATGGTTGTAATAACTAGTTCAGAATCCAGATACATAATTAGTTTCACCTTATGGAGAAGGTTAAGACTTGATAATGTCACAAGGGCTCAAAACTTGCTTCAGCCTCAAATCTCTGTGTTATTAGTCTGTACTTATTCTGTAGAGGCTAGTACAACCACCTTGCCACCCTGCAATTACAACTAGGTCTGGCAGGACTTCTCAAAAACATAATCATTATAATTTAAAATAAAATAATTCAATTATAGGCTTCACTAAACTTGGAAAATCGTGTGAGGTAATTCCTTTTTTACTGTTGTTTTTTAAGGTTAGAGAAATTCTAAATGGCAGAAACTTGATTAGAAAGTGAAAACAAAAAAATGCACTGAACAAATTTAACTGGGACTACTCTCCCACACTCACATAATGAAAGCGAGTTGGGGCACAGAGGGGAGAAGGAAACTTTGCAGTCTTTACCTAAACAATATCCCCCATCTTTTGTCTTTAAACAGACAATAATAAGATAATTTTAAGAGAAGAAGGAAGATGAAAAGGGAAGGGAACCAACCTTTCATGTCACCAGGGCAAGAGAAGTAAAACCAGACAAATGGGAAAAAAAAATACTGCCAATAATCTGACGACTGCAGCCAAAGCACAAGTATATGCACAGTGTTGCCCATCTTTTCAGGTCATATATGCTGTTCACTTACAATGTACTGATCAAAATATGAGAACTATTTACAGAGCAAATAGAAAGTTTTGACACAAAGTCTTCTTCCAGTATTGTTTGGTTGGGTTTAGTAAGATTTTATCAGTCAGATCACAGCTTTTAAATATAAAGGATACATTAAGCAATATGTATACAGCATACCTAGATGTCTATTTTCTCTACTGATATATATTTAAGCATTCCTATAAATCAGTTTAAGTATGTTCAAGTGTATTATCACATGAATGAAATACATCTGAAAGGAAAAAAAGCTTCCAGAAGTTGTATATTTATCACATCATATCAGAAAGCAATTTTCCCAATTTTATTTTTTAAACCCGTGTAAGTGTTTCCTTCACATATTTTTGAATCTTCTAAGCAAACGCCTATCAAAAGTCTTCGTCCACCCTGTTCTCAAAGTTATGCAAAAGGTGGGGGCAGATGGGAGAGAAGCATGACACTTAGATAATGATAACCAACATGTATAATAACACCATCAATGGTAGGCTGTTTACCAAATAGGTTTTTCGAAGCTGGAGATTGCAACATAAACTCAGTCTTAAACAGAGTATAGGAGAGTGTACACATGCACAAGAACGAACACACAAGTGTGCTGGAATGTGCTGGAGTAATCTGTATGCACATATTCCATACCATGCTCCATAATTACCCTAAGATATTTTAAAAGATCTTTCAACCTCTGTAATTGTTAAGCCTGACTTTTGAAAGCTTAAAATTTCCTAAGCAGTAGGAAAGAGGTTTACAAAGTGTTGTAGTCCAAAATTTTCTATACAGAAAACAGTACCTTACTTATTCCTACACTAACAGGATGGAAAGAGACACATCTTATTAACAAGTAGATACCAATTCTCATGTTAAAATAGTATCCTTAGTTTCAGAATCAAAGACGCAATCTTCTACTGAGCTATGTAATC